AAGAACCACAATCATACTTGTATACGATATACCAACGTAATAATGCAATTTTATTAATAACCAAAAAATAAAAAAAAAATGAGTGTAAAAATGTTTGGAATTTAAAATCTGAAGATTATTTTTTGCGTTTTTTCTGACTAGGTTGTGATTAATATTAAGCATTCCCCTCCAAAAAAAAAAAAAATAAATAAATAAATATTTAAATAGTAATATTGTATCAAATTTTGTTACTTTAATGGTTCAAAGTTTGACGAAAATTGTATAAACATCTAAATGTGATTAATGAGAATAATATACCTGTATATTAAGTTTATAGATGTAGAGCGTAGGTAACTATCATGTTTCAAAATAAGATAAAACGATTTTAAAAAGAGTGAGGATAGGTAAGTATTTATATGCAAATAGGTACTTAAAACCGTGTGATTTTATTTTAGGTGTTTTAATGAAATTATTTTTTATTTTTTGTAATAACTTATAATCATAACTTTTTTTAGTTTTAAATATTAATTGAATAAAAATAACTTTGTGAAAAAAACCTTCTATTAAATTTCTATATTATAACGTCATTTTCTTAAATGTCAATATGTATGGTTGTATCGTATAAGTAACTGTATAATTATTTTGTCTGGTCGTTGTCACACACTATAAAAGTCGTTCACAGGGAGAAAAAAAGGCATTATAATTTACTATAGTACGCTAGGTGAAATGTGAGCTACAATTGTCACGCGCCAAGTGGCTACTTGAACATCAAAGCTACTTTAACTATTTTCCCGCCTCAAATAATTTCAAACGATGTAATGAAAACTACTTTAACAATTTTTATTATTTCTGACAATAATAATAATATTTAAATAAATAATATCAAAATAATTTGTCCTCATCATCGACTTCATCAGTAGAACTATTGTTGGGGTTTATCGTGATAATGATAGGGTCCAAAATTTCGTCTCATAAACCTTCTTTTGTCGAATCTGCTTCCTGAATTTTGCTACACAATGTTCGCCAAATTTTGGCCATTTTGCTTAATTCTCTGTTGTTACATTGTTACATTTAAATCACTATTTACAAGTATTTCTACATATGCCATTTTGGAAGGTGTTATTTATTAACTCATTAATTTTTCTCAACAATTTAACCCAAGAATAAACAATATAATTTCGCTCCATTAAAAACCTACGCCCATCATTACATTTTAGATTCCGAGTGGAGCTAAGAAGCTTATAGTTTTACAAAGATATTTATTTTTTTTTTTTTCCGTGGACAAATTTTCTATCAGAAATTTTGCTCCGGTTTACAAGTATGGCACTTTTTCTAAAAGCAAATCTAGTCAGATTTGACTCTAAGGTCATATTTTGATTTTCCCAGGAGTTTTCCTAGTAAATGTGAAAAACTGGAAAAAAACATAGGAAAGCAGGTAAAAAATTACTTGCAGATTTATTTGCGGAAAAAATGCTACACTTGTAATATTTTTGGTAGAAAAGTTGTTCACAGATAAATAAAAATAAAATTAATATCATTGTAAGACCATAAGCTTCTTCGGTCCACTCAGAATCTAAAATTACTTTCTTCGTTTGATAAAATGTTGATGCGCAATTTTAAAAATATGATATAAAACCATCGAAGAAGTTATTACAATAACGAAAACATTCAATAACCTCCTCAACACACCAACCAGAGAAAATAATCTTTCAGAAAAGGTGCTATACTGTATACATTGGAACAAGACTTTGGTAGAATCTGAAACAAAATTAAAAATAATAAAAGTATTATTTTTGTACATTTTCCCGTTCTTTTTACATTTTTTAGGTTTTGTTCTATTATTAAAATAAACTAAAGAGAAAAATCAAAAAAGCCTTTTAACTCACGAACTAAATTTAAAATGAGATAACATGGGTCTTTTTATGATTTTTTATTGGAGTAATATCACTGGTAGAAAATATCAGCCGTACAAATTTAAAATAAAGGAATTATGACGCCATCAATTTATCATTTTTCGTCTTTTTTTGGTTTTTCTTATTATTATGAAAACTGCTTTTGTAATCAAAAAATTACTTCATAACTATGAATTTAGTCAACAAAATTTTTTTTGACGAATACTATTTATTTAGAGCGTTACATAGACATACCATACACATTACTTTAAACCCACATTCTGTAATTTATTACAATACACATAAAAACAACGTACATTATAATATTTATTACGCGTATTAATATAATTATACTATATTGAACGAACTTTATTTAACAAAATCAAAGTAATCTTTACCAATATTATGTCTAATGTTCTTAAGTGCAAATATAATGGCTATAATAGGGTGATAAAAGTTGCTTCTCCCCTAATAAACTCAGTTAATTTTCCCTAAATCAAGTACATATCATACTATTTGTATTTAACCCCTCCCCTTCCCAAACAAATAAATATATTTGGGCTATTTTTACCGTACGCTTGTATTATTTATTATAATATTATAAATGTGGTTTTAACAACTTGTGTGATTTTTAGAACTTCAGAAGTATACAAATACTTATTGGATAGCTATATTTAATAAAAAAAATGTATTGTGTAAATTTTATTGCATAATATAAAAATATTTTTTTTTTTCAATTTAGAATGCTTTGGTAAGTATAATATATAATAATATTATATTTTATATCTAATTGAAATTAAAATTTGTACAAGTTTGCATATTATTACTATTTTAAAAACCTTACAGATTTATACTCGAATGACGGTACCATAAAAAATAACTAATTTAATGGACAAAATCGACTATATAATTATTTCCGGAGAAATTGTAAACTAATATATATTTGACGTTTTTTTATAAATCTGCGAATTCGAATGTAAACTGAGACAAAAAAATGTTGTACATATGGTAATTTTTGATGATGTTATATTTTGATGTTATATTCATAGGCGTGCGCAGAATTCTGGGTCAAATATGACAAAATTGTATTTGAACGTTAATCCGTCCACACCAGCTACACCACAAAGAAATTGTAGGAATTTTCCATACGAACTTCGAGAGTGACCTCTTGTTAAGCCATAACAACTATTAACGTTAATATTAATTTATAGGTTTTGACTTATTATAAATAATATTATTCCATATTATTTTCACTTGTTATGCTTTTAACTAGCAATTGATCCTGTGCTGATTGAAGCTAACTTGTGGTTCTCCACTCTTCCCGGTAGTCTTATATATCATTGTCGTCTTGGTCGGGGCCTAGGTGGTGGTGAACGCCACCGTCGTTGTTATCTGGTGGCACGTTGTTCGCACCTAGAAACGTTTTCCTTTTAGCCCATTAACACATATCATCCGTTATTGCGTGAGAATATCGTCGATTTACCACACTCGTAAAATTGCCCTTATTTACGTATACGTAATGCGACAACCAATATCACATTTTGGTCACATAGAAATATTAATGCATAGTTAATAAATTAAAACACATGAAGGACAGAGTCCGTAACACATCTTCTATTTTCCATGCATTCTCCATCCATTAAAAACACCGCATGGTCCATGGATCATTTGACTGGTAACAATAATAAATAATTCTGGATTAATTAATGGATCCAGAATTTCGGCTGAAATTATTTAATCAATTTCTTCTGAACAGACTTCAACTTCAAACTAAATTAAAATGTGAGCATGGGGCAAGCCTCGCTTTTGCCACGCAATCGAATACATCCAGCAACGTGTGTTACCAAAAACCGTATCTTTAATGATTAAATTAATCAAGGGTTTTAATTTTTATTTGAACACACAAATGCAGTGATATCATGACGATATGATTGCTGGCGCGGTAATAGTAAAGTATTTATTTCTTTGCAATTTGAATTACATGTAAATATAATAAACAATTCTGGATGACCGTAATAATGAACGAAAGTCATCGCAATAAAAAAATATTAAGGACATTACTCGAGATGAAGACTATCTTATCTCAGATAGACTCTTTATTTTGCAATTTTGTTTTGTATTTTATTTATTTGTTATAGTTTTTATGGACTTTTAGATTTTGAGTGGAGCGAGGAATGTATTAGTTTTACAATGATATAATTTTTTTCATTTCAATATTACAGGTACTATATGCCTATGGTTTAGTTGAACGAATAATATTAACGAGTGAACGTATTATTTTTTGTAGTTAATAAGTTAATAGTTTAGTGAATGGATTGAAATATCGAATGTATTCGAAACGCACAAAGGAAAATGTTGTTTTATTTATACAACCTTAAGTATAACGAGTTCTGTGTGTTAAAATCAGGCGTTGTATTGTTCAGATGTATCAATAAAAGATGTACAGTGAAAAGTTTAGAAAAGTTTTGTAATAGGTACCTAATTAATGTACGGAGACAAGTTTTATGCACGGGCCATTTTAGGGCAGGTATTAAAAATGATTAGTGTACGTAATCGAGTGTACGATATTAATCTCATCAAAATTATATTCAGAAAATGCATACCCGATGTGTTCTTTGATTAAAATTATGATTCCATCATTCTGTTTTCTTTTTTTTTTTTTGTGAAAAACGTATTTTAACCAGATACATAAATATTACAAGAATTAACATCATGCCATGTCTCAATTAACACAATTATATCAATTTTATTTTTGTGGATATCATTTTCTATAAAAATAATCAATTCATCCAAATTGGAATTAACACTTCTAGTATAATAATATATTAATTTTATAATAATTATAAATTATTATTAATATTATAGTTATAAAAAAATTCAGAAAAAGAATCGAAGTATTTTGTTTTATAGTTTAAAAATTTACCTAACAAATTAGTAAAATCCATTTTTATAAATTTTTTTTTCATCTTTCTTAAGAAAATTGTACAGTCTCTATATCAGACATATTTATATTTATGCGCCTTTGCAAATATTCCTACTTTACAGAATAAGTTGGTATTTGTATAAATTAGATAATTATTTAAATATATACCTTCGTTATTCCAATTTGTATTAACGTTATCTTCTTTCTTACTAAGTCCAGCAATAGAATTTGTTTTACTCTAGGTAGTCTATCAAACTAACACTATTCGCATAATATTATTCAAATTAATTTTCTATAATTTTAACACGTAATATAAGGATTATATTATTTGTTTAATGAAACAAAATTTCAACAGTTGAACTTATAAGATCTGGATTCAGTCCGGGTAAGTTGATTTTTTTTTTCTTTACTAACCATTGTTTTCACTGTTTTTAGTTGAACATTTAAACAATATTCCTATATTGCAGCTAAAATATTATAATTTATAGCCAATTTAATATTGAAATTAATAATATTATGAACGTTGTATATTTTTGTTTTTTTTAGTGACGAAAGGAATAAACAATTACATTTATGGATTTAATGTATACTTAGGTATGTGTGTAATTGACTAAATAATAGTATTTTAAAAATCATAATAAATATTTTCAATTTTTAAATGTAAAGGTTACTATTAAATTAAAATATTTGCATGTGAAATAAGTAAACAGTCTTAGGTATTTAAAAATAAATCTAATATTACGTTTTTCCCGTCACTAATTGAGGGCAGTAGCAGATTTAAGGATTTAAATAAAGTTAGTAAATCCATAAGAGGTCTCGTACAAAATATATCAGTAACATATTCACCTTCAATTCTACAATTCACAAAACTATTCGAAAATATGCACTTGAAATTCATAAAATATACTAATTTTTAAAAAATATGTAAAAAATAACGAATAATGCCAGAATTTTAAAAATGTAAGAACAATTTAGAAATGTAAGGGTACCTTTACTTTTTGTTTGAAATGGATGTCTAGAAAAAGCTGTATATATAAGAGACTATACCTATACAAGTATTCAGTGGAATTTCTGACCTTTACGATTATTATTCGTTGAATAAACAAAATAAAATGAAACAGGCGCAGTAAATATAACAGTTACAAGTTTTCCCGACGTTTTTCCTAGGAGTTTCTTCATAATTAAGAATACTATAAAGAAAATATAAAATTAACTCCTTATTGCACCAATAAAGCAATAATTTTTACTAGAACCCATCGCCTATAAAGTTGATAACTGGAGCAAAACTTCTGGTAGAAAAGCTGTTCATATACAGAAAATGAACAAAAAAATCATCATAATAAAATTATAGTAATAACCATTATGTTAGAATCTAAAATAAATAATATTTACTGAATTATATTTGAAAATTGGTGTGGGAGGTGTGGAAGGCTAAGCTCCGAAACCCCTCCGGCTAAACGGCCCTTAAATACACCACTAGTTGATATATAAATATAATATACGAATTATATACTATATGCAATATTTAAACCCGTTCCCAAATACCCGTAAAAAATTAATTAGTTTTAACTTAATATAATATGTATGCTTGTCTACGGTATTGAAATTTTTAAATACAATAAAAGGTAAAATGAAGGCATGATATAAAATGCAATATTTTATAATAATATATTTTTAATTTTATAGAAGCTAAGCGATTATTGACAAGTAAATAGTTTATACAAATATTTTTCTTTTTTTTTTCATAATTAAAACAAGATTATTTAAAAGAATACAAATGTATATTAGACAAGGTATAATACAGTTTAACTTCATTATCATGTTCTTACGTTTGCTAAAAAGAGCGTACCTTCGGAAATGCAGCGCTGGCGATATATTGATATCGCCGCCTGCAACAATGTCACCTCTAACGTACAGATGACCACTCTGCCAATCACCTGAACATAGAAAGCTTAACCATTTAAGTCAGGTACCAGATAGCTTGGTGGTGGCGCAATCACCCGAGAAGCGAGAGATTTGAATTCGATTCCCGGTCCGTTCGCTTAATTTTTAGCACTGTTCCCTGGACGAAAACAATGTATTGTCATCAAAACGATGAAACATGTAGTAAAATCAACGAATTTTTAAGCGGTGATGCAGCGTAAATTCAACAAATTTAAAAACTACAGGATCTATAGGGGTTTATAAACATCTCAAATTAATAATAGTTGTATATTGCGTGTTATCCAAATTCGATTTTGGTGACGGAACTTTGCTTCTCACGGGTATTTTTTTAAATTAATTTCATATATGTGTTTTATTGATTTATATAATTCCCTAGTTTGTTTACCTTTATTTTTTATTTAGGTAATAGATTAAAATCTTAAGATTAATAAATAAAACTTGTAAAAATGCTTTTTCAGTCTCTACACATAGTAATTAAAACCATATGATAATATGTTGACTTATAATATTTATATTTGTTTAGACAATTCATTTATGTACTTAGAATACCTCAAACTCGAAGTAAAATCAGGTATATATTATTAATTATGGAAGCTATACACTTAAACTATATTAGAATAGTCATTACCCAATAAATAAATAATAAATATGCAGACATTGATTAAACCTTTTAAAAGAAATATCAAATATTTATTTAAGCTTTTAATACTCATTACTTTTGTAACTACTGTTATGAAATCAATTAAATTATAATAATTGAACAAATTCAAAGAGAGTGAAACCAAAAATACATAAATATATGGTAGTATTATGGTATGCTAAGGTTTTTGGTGTTTACTAGAATCAGTTAAAATTATGATCATTATGAAATTACAACAATACAGGAAAACAAATGGTATTCAGTATTAATCACAAAATTAAAAACACACATATCATAGTAAAACCAAGAATTAAGTTCCGTATCTAAAACGTTTGTAACGTTATAAATATAGCTATGTTTTAAATACCAAGAACGCCTGCTCGACTACGTTGTCAGCATTGTATGTATGAGCGTTATTATCAGCACGTGTAAAGCTCTAAACCTGCAAGGGCCAATAATTTTTAGTCCAGTCCGGTCAAACTACTTTTTTTTAAGCCCGGTTCCGATCTTGTCTAAAATATTTTGTGAAAAAAAAGCTCAGACCTGGCCCTAAAATTAGCGAACGGTCAACAAGGGTCACCCCCACCGTCCATCGACAACAGTTGGTGAAGGTCATGGAAATTTGCGTTTTACCTTAAAACAATATAACGGTCTGAACTGACGGTATCCCGGCCAATGAAATCTTTTCCCTTATCGCTTCGTTTCAGCGGTCAGCCGTTGGCTGCAGCTGTGACGACGATTCTGTTTACATTTCTTCATTCCGAGATCATCAAGCACACACCATGAGCAGATAGCCGATTTTCGCAAGTCCCATTGACGAGTAGAGAGGACCACACGGTGTTTCGTCGTAGCCAGTGGGGGTGTCAGTGGCGTAATTTGGGGATCGTGAAAGGTCACAGTTGCATTCCTAAATATAATACTGAGATCACAAAAGTATTGATTAGCAACACCTGATATGTCTACGTTTATCGACTTGTCTTAATAAAAAACATTAAAATTGATGTCATTATTTAATTATTGAATTGCGAAGAAAACATGTTCGAAAATAACAAAATTTAAATTGTATATTATCAATATTCCACCGATGAAAAAACAATTGAATACAATGTATGATTCACTATCATAAATTAAATTAAAATAAATGTATTTTTAGATTCAAACTTTTCTGTCATCGAATTTTTACTTCTATATTATTTGATTATATTTTTTGAAGTAAATTATGGAATATTTTAATATTCAGCATTAAAAAAAAAATAATATATCTAAACAAAAATTGAAATAACAAATCAATTTATAAGTTATTACTATAAATTCATTAAACTATAGGACAGTTAAACCGTTCAAATTTGAAAATTCTGAATTTTGTATTCTAATTTTAAAAGATTATATTATAACTCATAATTTTTATTAATATGTAACTATACAAGAAGAAGAATTATATAGATTTATAATGTATTTTATATTAATACTATACCCTACAGCTCTTTGCAACCTTTAGTATTTTTGCAACCCCTGACATAATGCCGAAATTAGGCCACTTAATATATCACTAATTTTACCTAGGCGAGTATCCGGTTATTCAAGATTTATTTATTTGTATTTTTCTTTCTCTCTCTCCCTGTAAAGATAGGAAATATATTGAATTGATCCGTTTACTATGTTATGTTACCCAATTAGGTAATTGTAATTGTCTAAATCGCATCTACACTTCCATGTTCCAAATAACTTTGTTTTTTTTTTAAAACATATTTTCTTTCTCATTAATGCGTGCTAATTTCTCACACAATGAATTGGTTTTAGGAATGTATTAAGACCCCGTGCCAGGATAACTTTATTCGCAATTAAGCATACGGTGGACACGTGGTCCGCCCATTAGTCATCTCGTCAGATTCTCATGCAGGTCCAATTTAGATACAGGTACAGATGAAATAGTGGAACACCAACATTATGGCCCTCCTCTCCAAATCTGTTGTAATATATAAAATTGGTAATTGTATGTTCTTGACGAGCCTCTAGTAATCTAGTATATAAAACAATAACGTACTCGAGAGTTCCACCTGTAGTCACACATCGATATTATTTTGTTTCTTTTTTTTTCTCCCACGTTAGTTCCCCGGTAGGTACGCTACAACATTTATATCGGAAGTATATTCGAAAACTTCAACTTGAGTTTGATGCAAATCATGTTTCTATGTATAAACCTATGTAAATTTATGTAATGTAAAAATCTTATATTTATATCTGTATATATATATATATATGTCTATGTATGTAGCTCTGTCCCCACCGAATAGGTACTTTATTTTACAGTTTGTCTTCCTTACAAAGAACACCGCTTCGGTGATTGGAAATCCCCTATGAGTCCAAATAAGATGTACTCCCCGATATGTAACTAGTGAGTAATGACCAATGTGGGATTGTTTTTTTCTTTTTGTGTGAGGTTTCTAGTGGACTTTACCCTTTTGTTTAACGTAACTAATGTTTTTCCATTCATATGTTAATCTAAATTTAATAATAATAATAATGAGTTCATTTCGCTGTAAATTTGGTATTTTTCTTTTAACCCCTAAGTTAATGTGTGATATACTTATGGTCCCCTTTGACTTTGAAGACTATACTTACCGTAATGGTTTTTATGAAGTTCATAATAAATGAGAAATTTATAATAAATGATTAGACCTTTGATAACAGTTACAAGATTTGCACTTTTATTCGATATTTTAATAATTTAATACATTACTATAAAAATTAAAATTTCAGTTCCAGTGAAAAATTCAAGAGAATGGTGTTTAGCAGGTTTGTATAGAAACTTAAATACATAAAAATAAATACCTAATGAAAGTGAATGTAAATATGAAATATTTCCTATGTATGTATTTTATAACCTAAAGAGTTGTAGCATTTATAGAACTAAGCATAATTCAGACTTAGGGATCACTTAAATTTAAATTTGGCTGCAAAAATGGTTACTATATTATTATTTTTAGTATTGATAATTGATTGATACGAGGTCTAACCAATAAGTAATGAGACTAATTCAATAAAATACGTATATTTAAATATTAAGATACATCGATGTGATCCCTTTCAAAGTACTCCCCTCCCACCCCTATACACTAGTTCCAACGTTTTTCCAGCTCTCATAACATTTCTGGAAGGCTTCGACTGGAATGTCCTGAAGTACCCTCGTCACGGCGTTCTGGATGTCAATTATGGACTCAAAATGCGTTCCTTTCACGGCCAATTTTGTTTGAGGGAACAAAAAGAAGTCGCAAGGTGACATATCCGGCGAATAGGGCGCNGTACCATCTTTGCACACAGCTTTTTCATGGACAAATCATCAGTTAAAATTTTTCTGACGGTTTCTCGTTTCAAATTAAGTTCATCAGCCAACATTCGAACGGTTAAACGCCGATCTTGATGCACGAGAGTGCGCACACGCTGAACATTGTTGTCAGTTCGAGCTTCAACCGGTCTCCCACTTCGCGGTTCATCCCCGACGCTTTCACGACCATTTTTAAAATTGTATGCCATCGAAACACCTGAGCACGACTTAGGGCTTCATCACCGAACACTTTCACCAATTTATCATACGTTTCCATAACGGAATCGCCGAGTTTAACGCAAAATTTATACTACGTTGTTCCATATTTGTGACACGCCTTACAAACACGTTGTCGAAAACATAACACAACTAGAAAACTAATTATTGTACGAAAATCACAAGCACATGAATCGATAGAGGAGGGATGAGAGATTAACCGAACGATGTTTCAGATTCGCAGTGTTATCACAAGCGTGGCAAAAAAAACAGTCTCATTACTTATTGGTCAGACCTTGTATATTTACAAAATAAATAACCTAAATAAAGAAATACAAAAAAATTATCTAAACGTTACTAACTTTTATTTAAAATTTTAACAACAAATAGGCAGTACCTAAATAATATCCTAGTAGATAATATGAATATGATTCGCGGAATTTATATCTTTATTATTATGATAAATTAGTTTTTATCTATAAACATAAAAATTAAATTCTTCATAAATATATTAACTTATTATTAATATATTTTTTCTAGTAATATTTGATGATTTTCCACATTCTAGTTACTCTTAAATATATGAACTTGTAATATTTTAAGCGGACACGAGTAATAAATAAAATATTTTTCTGAATAATATGAAAATTTAAAATTAAGTTAATTGAAAATAATAAAAAAAAATCTTGATTTCAAGTTTACGTAGAAACACATGAGTTAAGTTAAAGTTAATTTAATTAAAATAGCAAACTAATAAGTTAAGTTAATACCTACATTGAAATTAAAATTACTTTTAACTTAACCTTTAACTTATTAACTCGTTAATGTCCAGCCATAACATAATGTATAATCAAAAGTATTTAATTTGTATTCCTTTTATTTTATTACAGAGTTCAAAAGTAAGCAAACATTTTAAATTTAATTTATGTATTATAGAATTTTATAAGACTAATAGATATTGTATCACAGTGCAAAGCAGAATGCAGTAGTTTATCTGGCAGCGTGTTTTCACACGAACCATTACACCCAGTTTTTATCACCCTTATGGACTCATTAATCTGATTTCTATTAAAATGAACTTTTGAAATTTAAAACATAGACAAGATAAATATCTAAAAATATTGTAAACAATTAAACCTTTAATATTAAATCTTTTCAAAAGGAAAAGATTTCAAAGTTTAACTGATGAAGTTGTTAACACACAAAAAAATAAAACACATCACAGTAAAACCAATATATTCCTTGTTCTGCTCAGAATCTAAAGTAAATTTAATGAATTTAAAATATGATCTAAGTTTGTGAAAAAACTGTAAAAACTATAACAATATAATTGTATGTACGAAACTTGTTTTATTACATTAACTGTCTTCCTGCTTTTAATTAAATATACGTTTCATGCAATTTTAGATTATTCTGGTAAGAATACATTACAGTAAAATATAATTTATAATATATTTAGTTAATTATAAATTTAAGGGTGGCACGTATAAATAACACTTTTTAATTTAATTTTAAATTACATATAAATATCAAAGTTTATTATACAAATTTGTACATAATATTTACCTATAGTTCTGAAATAAACAAACATAAATATTTAACATGTTATTATGAGTATGCTTGGCTGCAGCTCGATTAAGCACGATGTACCTTTTTAACAACACGGTTGATCACATAAGTGGTTAACAATATTTATCCTTAAAATAGCATATATTTTGACTCGATTGAACACGAAAATCTATGTTGTCAATTTTCTATATCATAAAAGTAATTTTGTTAAATTTTTTTTTTTGAAAACAGTCATTTAAGTATATCTTCTTCTATATATACAAATACGAATGTTTGTGTGTTTGCCCTTTATGCATTTTTACAGCATTCATCTGATCATCATGAAACTTTAGGAAGTTGTTGAAGGTTCCAGCCAAGTTTTTTAGCATTTATGAAATTCTTCGATGATCGACTATCACCCACAAAAACCAGTTTTTAGGTACTTTTAAATACGAAGATAATATTATTATTTTTATTTATGGGTTTCCTTGGTAATACGATGAAAAACAAATATTATTAGTTAAATGGAGTTATCATGGGCAAATTCGTATTACCTATGTCTATGATATATATTCTATGAATGTGTATATAATATATAATTTATATTATAAAGGTAACTACAATTTTTTTTTGTCATGCGTGTTGAGAACATGTTGAACTTTAATTGCCAATTAAGAAATCCATATTGTGTAAACTTCAATTCATGGGTGATGAAATACATAAAACAAAGACATACGAATACATAAAATATACATATATTTCTTTAATCTTTTTAATACTGCATCATCGACAGTTATGCTCTTCAAACAAAATTGATTGGTCGATCTACATCTGAAGCATGAAAGTAAAATGCATTATGAGTAACGGGAATCAAGATTAGAAAAAGGATACGTTTAAAAAAAATTAGCCCGAGCAACACCGGTTGGGACATATTTAATAAAATATTTATATACATATTCATATATAAAATTATTTAAAAGTTTAAAATATAATTTTTAACAAAAATGTGTGTAACATTAAAATTTAAATGCTTTTGAGGACAAAAATCATTATAAAGTCTCGATTTAACACTTTTAATAAATACATTTTAATAATCCATCATTCTTCTTATTCCAATTTATCTATACTTGTAATTGTAATGTTCTTCGGATCTTTTTTATTTACTCGTTTTTAAATATAAATATAAATGCGGTATATAAATACGGTGATACTCGTAAGTAAACCACCGTTCCGTTTGTAATAATAACAATTAGGTTGTTTAGTAACCAGTGTGTTTTATCAACGTATTAAAATACTTAATACGTGATATAACAAAAATAAGTTTGGGGGGAGACTATTTACAAAACACTTAATTATACTCATTAATAAACGATGATAGTAGTAGGTAGCAATGTAAAAATCTAACCTCCTACAGCTGTGGGTTAATTGAGAAAAAAAGGTATAATATTAAAATGTATATCTTTATTACCTTTAAATATTAAAATCTAATTATATAATTCATATTATTTTAAGTATGTACTTTTATATTTATATTAATAAAACATAATTTATTTTTAATTGAATTCAATTTGTATGCATTATTTTAGAGTATACAAGTAAGAATACATTTTAATAAAACATAATTATTTATACTCGTAATATATATATCCATTATTCCAGTATTTTGTGGCATATACCAGAGGCGGGCATAAGGGCCATGACCTCCTAGACATTTTGTTTAACTGTACGCGTGAATACATTTTTTTCTAATTTTTATGGGCATGTATATACAGCGTGTAAATCGGTAGTTGGAAACAATCTATAATACTCTACACAAATTAAATTTATTTGAATTCTATTTTTTTATTATACACTTATTAAACTAATTAAGCCATTTAAAGCTATTTAATTTCGCGCATGCGCATAACAACTTTATTTGTATAAATATCACCTCCCCCTTTTTGGGTAATTATTTGTAATATTTTTTTACGAATTTTGATAGTTACGAATTTCAAATTACTATATTAAAAAATTGCCAAATTATGAATATTACGATGTTTGATATTAGTTGTAATTGTGTTTTAGATATTTTTGTATTATTCATAAATTTTAGCGTATGTTGGCATACGTAAGAGCAAATACCAGAATTAGTATGTATGAATTAGTAATTAATTATGTCGGCTTTGATATAGGTATTTCTCTAATGCTGTTTAAAATATTTAAAAAAAAACATACATTTATTCATACAAATCTGATTTAGTTCAATATTTACGTCAAGGTGGATACTAAACGTAGGATTGTTGGCTACTCAATTAGAAGACAATTTTGTTATTTTAAATTGTATATTGTAGGCAGAAAAAGTCTAAATTTACCAAAAATGAAATTATAAATAAACAAAATAATCGTTATTGGGACAATTAAAACCCCCATTGGGTTATTGAATAACATTTTAAAAAATAAAGTTGTATGCGCATGTGTGAAATTAAATATGGCTTAAAAATAATTTAATTAGTTTAATAAGTGTACATATATAACAAAGATTGTTAGGTACCCAAAAGAAAACTGAATTTAAATATATTTAATTTGTGTAGAGTTATAGAGTGTTTCCAACTAACATCCTTTGAAAGATAAAGACTATAATTTGACAGCCCTATTATTTGTTAATGTATTTTTGGTCCGTATATGTTATGTTATATAATTGTACCATCGTTGATTAAATTTAAAATGCAACCAT